GACTTTTAAGAGCTGTCCTACTTCTGACTGGGGTCTCATATCAGCCTTCATCTCAGTTTTCAAGCGAGAGTTTGAATATGCTTAGAGGGGTCCATTGTAAATATCTGCACAACTAAAGAAAGTACTTTCCCTCTGAATGCTGCACACCAAAAATAGACAACTCCTATCAGATCTTGGACAGCAGTATTTTAACAATGTTGTGGGAAAAGTTTCCAATAATTATAACCATTTGTAAGATGAAGTTCAGCCCCTGTATTTATCTTGAAAACAAAAGACTTAATCAGAAAGCAGTCCAAAGGGAGTTCATGAAAATCCACATGTGCCTGGGATTATGCATTTAGCCTGTAAAGATCTATACCATCTTCAGTTTCCAGCTGTATTTACACACAGCAGTTGCGTGTTACTACTACTCTAAAAGTTTATCTCAGCATTTACTATTTAAAGTAGCACACAGTGATACACACCACAACTCCAGTAACCTGATCTCACAGTTGAAATCATACACTTAGTATCACCACAGCTAATTAAACAGATACTTTAAAAAAACACCAACCAACCAACCAAAAAAAAAACAAAAACCCCAAACAAAAAAACCAACCTGAAATCATCAAGTACAATCTCGGACGAAGGAATTTTTCTCTTTGTCAGCTAGATTCAATATATAGCAGCTTTTAAAACCTTCACATGATACTGAGTTGTCTTAGCATCTCTCCTCTTAGAGTTCCTCAATGTGAAAAGGATGGTATCAGCAGTGATGGTTCCAGTACTGCAAGCTAATGCCCTCAAAACATTTGCAAGTACCATTTGACCAGAAGCATAGAATGAGGTGAATGGTAGGAAAGAAGGGGTTAAACTTCAAGATTAAAGCCTTCTGATTCTATTTTTCCTCTTGTACTTCCTCAAAGCAAAACTGTAGCCTAAACACCTTCCCCCATTCTTACCCAAAATTAGTCAGGACATAAACTTAATGAATCTTAAGAATGTGCTTAAAGTTAACAGGATAGAGGGATGCTGGAAGTGCTGTAAATGACTTAAGGCAGGCTTTGCTTTCCTGCTTTTTTTGAACTGAGGCCTAAGCTACTACACTTTCACTTGGCAGGCCTCTACTTAAACATGTGTTAGGTCACCTGAGTTGGTGTTAGTTGCATAGTCTTAAAATCAAAACAGACCAAATGTAAGAACTATTGATGCCAACAGACTCTGAGAAAACAGTGCAGGAGTCTATGGTTGTGAAGAAACTCTGGACTCAGTTTGGTTCATCTTGCAAGGTCTGTTCTTTCCAAAGAAGGCAGAACACAGAGCCTGCAATATGCTAATGGCAAACAACCTGTTGGAGAGATCAGAGACAGCATGCTGCAGAATGCTGTCAATCCCTCCCAGGCAAAAATAGGACTAAATAGGTTAGAAGACAGTTTACAAAAGCTGGCATAAAAAGATGCATACAGGCTTAAAAAAGATCCAAAGAACAGGAAACCAAAAATCTATACATGTTACATAATTTGTGGTATAATAAGAAGTGGTTTAAAAAGATGAAGCTTTCTCAAGCAGGTAGCAATGCCACCTCCCAGAGGAAAAGGTGGTCAGGTTCCAAACCCCAGTGGAATCACCAGGGCAGCACAGCTGGAAAGCACAGATGCTCCAGGCTAAAGGTCCCATTTATAAGCAATACCACTGGCACAGCCGGAAGACTCAAACACAGCCAGAATTCTAATTTTGAAAAGCGGACCCATAAGGAACAAGAATTTAAAAGTCAGTTTCACCTGAGACAGTCTCTTTTCTCTAGAACTGAAAAGAAATAGTTGTAGATTAACACTACCTTGTGAAAGTAAGGTATCTTGCTTCCTATCTAAATGGCTTAATATAACTTAAATACTGCAAAACTCTCAATTAGTAGGTCTGGTACCTTGTCCCTAAGAGTGAACCAGCTCTTTGACTTCTGGGAGAGGTAATTGAACTATAAAGGCTGGACAACAAAAATGCATTTTTTGCAGGAAACTTGAAATTTAGAAAAATTTAGAAATTTAGAATTTTTAGAAAAAGTTAAAATAATTCTCTAATAATAAGAAAACCTTGCCTTGATAGGCAAAGCTGTAGCACAAAAAAACCAAAAACCAATCCCAAACCAAAGCAGTTGTGCATGTAAATTTGATAATCGCCAATAAAACTCAACCCCTAGAAAAAAAGAGAAATTAAGAGAAAAAAAGAGAAAAAAGGAGAAATTAAGCAAAACATACTGTTGAAAATGCCAATGATAACTTTATTTGTAATTACACATTCCCACCTCCCCACCCCCTGGCTTTAAACTTTTTTTCCTAAACTTAAAAAATCAGATCTGACAGCAGCAGATGACAAAACATACAGGAGCTTGAATGGCCATAGGAAAAAAGGTCAGGCAAAAGAAATCTTTACACAGAGCTAAGGTACAAGAGTAACACAAAAAGTACTTCAAGGATTAACTACTTGAGGGAAAGACCTCACAGTTCTCTCTGTGATTCATATAGATGCTAAGGTGCAACTCTGCTTTGCAGTCAGCTGAGTTTGGAAGATTTCCAAAACCAAATGTTATTTGTGATATGTCATTAAAAAAAAAGTGACAAAAGCAGTACAGCTCTTTATACAAGGGAAGATTTGGGGTTTCGACATATTCCACATCTAAATAAAAACAAACAAAAAAAACCCAACAAACCACCAAATGGGAAAGCACTGTGCTTGGTACAGATATACCTCTAAAAGTGAATCTGTTTTAAACCAGTAGTATCTATCTCCATAGCATATTTGATGCATCTGCAACTAACTCAACTAACTAACTAACTCAACTAACTAACTGGACACATGAAATGTCAATAAATTGGGCCAAAACACAGCCTCCTGAAACAAACTGCTCTATTGTTTTTGAGCTGCCAGCAAAAGATGCTTAAATGCAAGTATTTACAATATTCTTATTATCATTTATCAATTCAGTTACACATGTGTATGGGCTATGACAAATAATGTACTGTTAAAAAAGAAAAGGATAGGCCTAGAGAAGAGTTTCACTGAGGTAGAAAAAATTTATTACGATTCTCTTCTCATTTCAAAGCCAGCGTTTGGAGTTCAGGACCTTGGCTGCTATTCATCAAAGCACTTAAGAATTTGTTTAATTCTAGGAGTTTCTGTAAGACTTGAATATGTTTTTAGATATTTTACTGAATAGGAGTACAACTATTCACAGAAGCAATATAGCACATTACTCAAGGGAACGGCTGCGTCTTGAAGGTCTCCTGGGTAAAGCACATGCACACAGAAAAAAAAATCAATTCAATGGACTCTAAAAATAGATGGCTTTTCTCAGGGAGATGCATACCTTTTCCTCACATTCAAGTTTCTGTTTGGGTTTATACTTCATTGATGTTAACAAGGCTATTAATATAGAGCAATGTTTTATTGCTATATTCTATTTTTAAATGTCTATTTTAGAGTAAACCTTTCTCATGCATGTTCCAGTTTCCATTTTACATCTTCATCTCCTAGGCTTTGCAATTGATAAAAATTACTAGGATTTCCTTGGCTGTGCAGTTTCAAAAACCAAAGCACCAGCTGTGCTGCAACTGAACCACGACATGTTTTCACTTCCTTTGCAATTGCTCAAAACTCTTGACATCTCATTATAAAATTCAGTAAAGTAGGTCTTTCCCTCAAAACTATGTCAGCATAAATAGGGAAAGTAACCAGAAATGCAGTTTTAATTGGAACAGAAAAGTAGTACTCTGCTACTGTATATCCATCCAGCTCTTAGTTTACTTTCTCCTCTTTTCTTTCACAAACTAAGATTTTTTATAATGTAAATAAATTAAGTTGTTGTGGAACTATTCCCAGCATCTGCTTGGCATAGTTTGCACATGCTAACTACAATAGCAGGTATCCACACTCACATGGTATTGGCCTGGACCTCCCTGGTGCAAGCATAAATTAGAAATAATGAAAAAAGAGAAGAATTCAAAGATGCTTCACACCAGTTCTGAGTGTTTCTGCTCATAGTTTGAGGTTTTTTAAAATGCATGCTCCTAGTTTATGTGCACACTTGGCCATTTCACAGAGCTAGAGAATGAAGTAACTAAGACAAAACTCCATAAATGTTCTGTGATATCTGATTGTGGAGGAAAAGTGAGAACTACTGCATGAGTTTAGAGCATGGCAAAATCCAAAGTTCTAAATAAATTTAAAAAAAAATTAAAGTAGCACTTGCATTTAAAGGCCATGGATTATTTATTATGGATTGTTTTACATATTTCCACTCACCCAGCTTACAAAAGCAACACGACTCTTTTTCAAAAACCCCTTAAACGCCACTATTATTTCCATAAATTGATTCAAAGCTTTTATAAGCGTACTAAAGTGTGCATCAAATACTAAAGTAAAGCCCAGCCTGCACTGGGAGTTCCCGAGAGTGTAAGCCTGACGTAGGAATTATCAAAGAAAGAGAAACGTTTTATGACAACATGTGGCAAACCCTTCCAAATCCTTAAGACGCCGAAGCCCTTGGGCGGCAATCTGTCCTAATTTGCGATCGCCCCCGAAAGCACGGGGTGCGCATCCCGCGCTCTCCCCCAGCCTGCCCCGCTCCGGGCGCTGCTCCATTGTCTCGGCGGACAGAGCTCTCCCCGCGCCGCCGATGCCCCGGGCCTTGCGGGATGTCCCGCTACAGCCCTTCCCAGCCCCGCCGCCCCTGCCCGTCCTTCCCGCTCGGCACCGCCATGACTGTGCAGGATTCCCGGCTTCGGGGCAGCTCTCCCGCCGGCGGGAGCGGCACCAGCGGCAGCGGCCCCGCGGCGGGCGGTCACTCGGTGCTGCCAGCCCCGGGGAGCGGCCCGGAGCCCGGGGGACGGCCCGGGGCGGCCTCCGCTCCCGCACACGACCCCGGCGCGGCGCGGGGGCTCCCGCCTGCCCCGCATTGTCCGTCCTCGCCGCCCGCCGGCTGCACCTGCCGGCTCCCGGCCCCTCTGCCGCCGCCCCGCACCTACCAGACGGAACCGTAGGCGCCGGAGCCGACGGGGGTGAGGTTCTGGTAGCGCTGGGGCACCTCCCACACGGTCTTGTTCAGCTCCTGCCGGTAGAAGCCGCCGCGCTCGGACATTTTCCCGGAGCCGCCGGCAGCAGCGGCAGCCGCCCCTCAGTCGAGGCTGCACGGCCGGCGCCGGCGGGGAGGAGGGACCGGGAGGGGAAGGGGAGGGGAGGGCGGAGGCCGAAGGGGTGGGGGCAGCGGCCAGGGCCGGGGGAGCCCGGGTGGGGACGAGGGGGGCTTGACGAAGGGGCCCAGGATCCCCGGGGCGGCACCCGCTGTCTTTCCGCGGGGCCACCCGGGGGATTGCGGGGAGTGGCGAAGCGCCGATCCCGCCCCGGAGCATCGCAGCCGGGGCGGTGACGGACCGGAGCGGCTGCCTCAGCGCATCCCCTGCCCGAATGTGCGGGAAGGGCCCGCGCCGCCGCCTCTGCTCCCCGCGGGGACGGACCCGGTCATTCCGCCCTTCGCCTGGTGTCTCTCAGAATTGCTAAAGCCTTGCTGACACCTTTCTTACTTTGCCACGGCCACCTGAAGTTCCCTCTGGGCCCGCCAGGCTCCCCGCTTCCCCAGCTGGAGCTGCAGCGACAGCCGCGGTGACCCTGCGCCAGCGTATCGTCCGCGGGGCCAGCGCGGCCCCCGCTCACTGATGGAGCCCCGGGCACGTCGGGGGTTTTCTCGGAGTCCTCTGGTGCCTATCATTTCCCCTTACCGCACTGACCCCCGCATGCAATCATCTGTGTCCTCTTCCTTTTCATCAAGGAAGACTCAAGCTCTCAAGACAAGAGATAATCTTGAAAACTTTAAAAGTCCAAAATTCATGCACCAGTTAAAGATTCTTTGACTTCTTTACTGCGTGTTTTCTTCTCTCCAAAATGTACCTTATACAATATCTCAGTGACCTCTGAGATCATTGCAGCACTACTGCAATGTTACCAGTATACTTCTTTATGTATTGTTTCCTTCCACGGCTTCTTACGCTTCTTTGAGCACCTGTAAGTAACTTGCACATAGCCTGTTTGCATAGATTCAGTGTACTGGGATACTTGCTTTACACCAGCCTTTTAATCACTGTGGAATATAAATCCTTGCCTTTCAGAGCCCTCCTATACCATGGATTGCTGTTCACTTTGGCAAATAGCTGCTCAGTTTGTGCTAGGACATAATGTGAGTGTAGAGAACACGTATGCTTGAATAGCTGTGAGCATGGTGAGACAGAAAACAAGTGTTACGGATGCCCCAAACACTGGATGGTTCAAGTTCCAGCTCTGAAACCTCAGCCCATGTTGCATGACAGAACTTCCATACTAGGACTGTTCAAGTGAACAGCACCAGCAACTTGGCATTTGCTGGGTGCATTTCAAATAAAAAATACACAAATGGTACTACTATAGCCATTTATCTGCAGCCATCCACTCAAAGAGCACCAAGTGCTCCTAAAGCAATAGTCTAGTTCTCACTTCTACCCTTCTCCAGTGCAGCAGACCTCTCCAGTTCTCTCCAGACTGCTCCTTGGTCCCACTTGAATTTCTATGCTGAGGGCATAGTGCTTGAAGAAAATGAAAAGAGTAAAAAATCCAACAATACATTAATTTGTCTTATTTTTCTCAGCACCACTGTATGGAGTTTTAAAATTGGACTAGCAGTGCAGCGACACTACACCAAGCCAATAAAAAATATTTCTGGAAATATTCTGTTACATCTTATTTACCCCTAAAGTAAGTGGTCCCAAATGTTTATCATTGCTAAAATGGAACAAATACTCCTACTTGCAACTTTTATTGTACTTTGTCTCTAGAGGTGTTTTGGTGTATTAAATTATTTCTTTCTAACTGCAGCCATGATTTTTGGAAGTTGCATCTGTCCATGTCTACCCAAGCTTTTAATTGTGCAATTTCCACAGGAGTTCATTTTTCATATTATTGGTTAATATTGCTAAATATTTACAGTTGGTCTCAATTTTCTGTCTTCTGTGAGTTTCTGTCAGTTATCTGTGTTGCAATCATGTCTCTGAGACTGTGCTTGATATCCTTGTTTTATTGGATATGACGTACATGGTCTTCTACTGTATGTAATGAGGCAGATAATGGAAAACATCAAGATGCAAGGACAGTGTATTCGAGTTGTCTCAGAGCTAGGTAGGTTCTAGCCTCCCATAAAGCATGCCCTGACAGCTGCCTTTCCCGTGGCAGAATCAACTCATCCATCTTTGCCATCTGTCTGAAGGAAGAGGAAGAGGCAGAGGAAGAGACAGCTCCCTTGTCAGCTGGATTCTTCTCTTTTAGCTGCAGTTTTACAGAAGGTGTGAAGGCATGAAGAAAAGCTTCTGCTGTATATATGTTGCCTTCTTAGGAACTTTCACTGTCTATACAAGAAACACTGTTACATAAAACTGAGCCTGAAGCTGTGCTGGGACTCTCATGGACAGGGAAAGCCCGTGAAACAGCTGTGAACACCGCACACCCCTCCCCTCCCCACCCTGCCCTGACAGCATCCTGGCTGACAGCTCCTCACCAGGGCGAGCCCGTGAAACAGCTGTGGACACTGCACACCCCTCCCCACCCTGCCCTGACAGCATCCTGGCTGACAGCTCCTCACCAGGGCAAGTGCTGGTGGCTGCAGGGCAGTGGGCAGGGACTCACTGCCCTTCTCACAGGGCACAGGCCTGGGAGGGACGCCCGTGTGCTGCAGGGCTGGGCACGCCGGCAGTTTGTGGGGTGGGATCAGCTGCGTGAGCCTCGTGGCTGGTGAGGGAACCCAGGATTCAGGCAGGAGGAGGCTGTGCCCCCGGGCAGGGGGGGATGCAGTGCCTCAGACACACAGCAAATCTAGCAGGTACCAAAAGAAAACTTGCAGGCAGAGCACCAACTTTCTCCTACTGCATACTCAAACACCACATTGCTCTCATTAGAATAAACCTCAATGAAAACAAAGGAATTTATTATTTAGCCAGTTGTAAGTTACTAATTTCCAGTTGCTCCTCATTCCTAGGTTTTTGAGTTTGACTTGATGCTCCTGATGGGTCCCTTCCAACTCAGTATATTCTATGATTTTATCTCCTTTTTTTGTTTTATATATTGCAGAAGGCTTGCACATCTTTGCTACCCTCCTCCAGGTTCCTTTCAATTCTCATTTATTCTCTCTCTAGTTCTGCTTTTATATTCAGTTTAGAAATCTCAAATTTAATATATAATGGAGCTCAAAGATTGCAATTTTCATACTAACAATAAACATGAAAACTAAAAGAAAGAAAATGCCACCTTAATAATGAAAATATATAATTTCCTGGTGGAAAACATAAAAAAACATATTACTGTAAACTCAGCACTGATTTAAAAAAGACTGAAAAACATAGGACAGACTGTTTGCAGATCAGAGTTCAGACTGTTCTCAACAAAATTGCTGTGAATATAGGATATCTCTAACTAAAAATCTACCAAGTATCACTGAAGTTTTAGGATGAACCACCATGCTTCTGGCACTATATCTGTTATGTACTTTGTACTTGGAGATGTCTATTAATGGATTTCACCACATCCACCTGAAGTTAATAACAGTGAGCTAAACATAGTAATGTTGTGAAGGTGCTTCTTGTGCCACTTTCTTTTGAAAATGTTGTAGGGTATATGGAACACCTTTATGAAAGAAAAAAATATTTTTACTATATTTTTATTATGTTTTATATTTTTCATTATTTATTTTTATTATTTATTTATTGGTTTTATTTGCAGGTTCTTGTGAATTTCTGAAACTACATCTACAAATATGTAATTATAACATGGGAAAGCTGCTGCTGTTTGTAACAACTGAAAGACAAAGTACAGACAGCAGAAAAGGCTAAATGAAGCCCTCTGTAAATAGCAAGTCAATCATTACCTACTCCTAACACATTGGTTTCCATGAGACTGCTTTTCCAGGGACCATGTATCTTTGTGACTGAATCACAAGACACTTGTTTCATTTGCCCATGAAATACTCTGTCTTGTATTTCTGCTATTAACTGGCTGTTGCCAAATACCTATTTGGAGGGCTTCATAGCACCCAGGTTGCTTCAGATGGCCTGCTCCAGCCTAAGACTGTTTTTGTCTTGTTAGGTCTTAGATGTTTAAACTGGAAAAACTTTTTTTTTTTTTATCTTGTGAGAATATGAAGGGTCTTGCATTGGAGAAAACTTAAAATTTAGTTACTCATTTTGAACCTCAAGTTGATAATGAAAAGTCCCAGGCATTTCATACCTATAATGAGGTGTGAAATCAAATGAGAAATCCTGCTATTGATTGAGGACTTTTAAAATCTGGGTTACATCCTAGTAGTTGTATGACAAGAATAGGTTTCTATTCCTTCTGAGAAGAGAGATTCTAATATGGCTTGAGTTCAGAGCTCAGGCTTTATTTCCTTTTCTTCCACATTCCTTCTCTGTGGAATTAGGATGGCCACTAGATATCTCTGTGCCAGCTTTCCACATTTATGAACTGAGGCTAGGATTGTTTCCCTATTTTAAGGATAAATACATGAGACTGATACTACCTGAGATAGTAATAACACTTGTACTAGCTAAGCTTATTGTTTGCAGACATTGATAACAGTTTTCCACATATTCCTATCATACTGCTGTTGATACAAGGTGGGAAATATTTTCTAATATCCTGTTAAAAATGTAATTCTGACAAAAAAAAAAAAAAGTCAGTGTCCTTTACTTGAAATTATAGAGGAGTGTTTCTTGGCCTCCTGGAGTCTGCCAGAACAGGGTGGCAGTGTTTTTTCTTCATGCAGGAGCAACACATGGTTGTTATTCTAAGATCATGTTGCTATTAAATTTCTCGATGTGATTGAGACTGCAAGCATGCTGGCAACTGGTGTCAGAAGTCCCCAAAGTAAATTAAGTAAAATACAAGATCCTGCTCAGTCATGATAACAGAGGCTTCTCAGTGTATGTACATTCAGAGCAAGGCCATCACCAGAAAAATAAATAGAGATTTAGCTTTATAATAATTCCTAATTAAGTAAACAAAGGTCCAGATATGAGGAAAGGCTGAGATGGGCTATTAATATATAGTTCTATATTTTCACTGGCAATCCATGTAATTATGTTGCCTGCTGAATCACAACACCATGATGCTATATTCTTATGCATAATACAGCATCAGTCAAACACAGTCTAATATTGACATGTGTAATCAGTAGCTGCAGAGAGCCCAGCACTGCTCCCATTCAAGTCAAATTTCATTATGAGAATGGGAGCAAGAACACATTGTTCCAAATGCATTCATTTGAGCTTCTCTCCTGAATATACATCAGCTGTAAATTTTTTCACAGTGACTGAAGGTACTCCAAAGATAAAAGCAGATGCAGATGTAAGAGCCCACGTACACCAAGCTCTGTGCTTTTCTGGTGCACATTAAGAAATCACACTCAAGGAAGACTGTTTAACTGACTACTCTGTTGTTTCTTTTGGCTCCAAAGAACACCACGGGTTCTTTAAAATGGTTGTGCATTGCGATCATGAATTCCTCTAATCACAATCCAAAAATAATTATGTATTAGAACAATTATATTAATAAGGTGTCAATCTGGCTAAAACTGTGCTTATTCTGCATGCAAAGTCAATATGAAGAAAACTTGATACTTACAGGACTTCTAAATGCCATGGGGTTGTAGATGTGTACAAACTTGCACCCACACCCATAGGGCTGCTGTGAGCTTTGGAACACAGTAAACTCTAT